ATAGAAATGGCCATAAGACTGGTTATAGTACTGGTTAAGTACCGGTCAGGTTAAGTACTATAGAAGTCGTCATAGTATCGGTAGTAGTAACGTTAGGGTGCACATTATACTACTGGTTACAGTACTATCATTACCGGTTAAAAAACGGTTATAAAAATGATTACATTACTGGTTATTTTTACAGCTTATAGTTATGGTTATAGAACTGGTTTAGTAAAGGTTATAATCCTGGTTACAGTACTGGTTATTTTTACAGCTTATAGTTATGGTTATAGAACTGGTTTAGTAAAGGTTACAATCCTGGTTACAGTACTGGTTTTACAACTGCTTATAGAGATTGTTTAACTCGTGGGTTTGGGGGTATGCATTTAATTGGCTGAGATCCCCTGGTTTCAGAGACACCGCTGATGGAAAAAATAGGCGTGGTCTACAAGTGTGTCTTCATCAAACCAAGAGTACAATTACGTTAAAACATTCCCATTTTAAACACTCATCATTTCACTTGTATGATGAAATAGTTGAAGTCTTGGTGTCAACGCTCGTGTCATATTTTCCTGAGGTCCATTACAGTTTTTTTTTTCACTGTTGATGTTGTGTAAGTGTGATGTTATGTGAGGTAAGGCACAGGCATGGGTGGGTAGTGGAGGCAAGTTGGGATACAGTTAGTTAACGAAGAAATCCCAGAGTAAGACTTTAACTCTTGCCTGACCTCCAATGAAAGTATAGTCAAATGTCGCTGGAGCCAGTCTAGACCAGATGTTTTTAACAATGGTCTACCTTTGTTCTGGATTTTTTTTAAAAATGGCTGTATTTTTTTTTTTTTTTTTTTTTTTTTTTTTGTTTTTTAGGAAAAAGGGGGGGGTGGGGGGGAAGATCCGAACAGTAGGATCCCATAAATTGGTTGGTAATCTAATCTTGACCAGGGTCTGTGGTTTTGTCAGGTGGGGATACAGTTGGTTAGGGAGAGTGAGAAATGGTCTGTGTTATATTTGTGTGTGATTGTTTGTGTGTTGGGGGAGGGGGGGGGGCGAGGTCATAATGGGTCATGTCAAATCGTCTGAGACCAGAAATGTGTGTGTTACATTTTGTGATTATGACTCGAGTTCACTTATGATTGTCTCTCCATACACTAGGAACTACCACCTCGCTGTTTTAATTTCGTGGACTCGGTGTTCGTGAAAACAGCACGAAAAATAAATAAGCGGTAGTTCATTATTTAGCTAAAAACATTTGTTAAACATTACAAAATATTTGTCATTTGGGTCCTCTCGGACACAAATTAAAATGTACCACACAATTTTTGAGCATGGTGTAAGAAAGTTCTTTTAACGTGTGAGAAAATCATTTCTGCGCAGTGCATTGGAGATTCAGATAATATAACTCAAGGCTTACCCACAATTCATATCAGTTGCTTTTGTTTTTCCTCTGTTGTTTTTTCTCTACAAATAAAGCCTCACTAACTTCATAGTCTGAAAACTCCTCACATCTCCATTTCTCAATCAACCTGAACCAAAAAAAAAATGCTTATGTTAAATTACATGTAATAAAATAAATGAGGCTTTATTCTTGATATCAATCCAATCTGCTCTCATCAGCAGTGTGGGCGGAGGCTTGCACCCATATGTTTGTCATACAATCAATACATAATGGTAATTTAATTATTATGTCAGCCAGAGCTGAAAAGTGCTTGTGTCGCGACATATTTGTTTTTTTTTTTTTTTTTTTTTTTTTTTTTTTTTTTTGAGAAAACCCCCCCCCCCCCCCCCCTGCTTAAGTGATTAGCATCCTTTCCTCTTTACTTGAATTTACTTTACTGCCTTTGTTTCTAGTAATCCCGTTACTGGTGCAGACGACAACTGACCTTTTAGTTGACACGGAATAACAATTTAAGACAGCAGAGATCTCTTTTCTTTGATCTTAATTTATGACAGCAGATATTTCTATACTTTGAACTTAATTTATGACAGCAGATATTTCTATTCTTTGAAATTAATTAATGACGACAGACATTTTTTTATTTTTTGAACTTAACACTTTGAAGAAACGTGCATCAAAATATTTGTGTTAAATTTTAATTTCATTCTAAGAATTAACACAAGTCAAAGATCGACGCTCACAACCTGTGTAACTACGTCATCACAGCGCCAGCCTGACGTCACTACCTCCCAGTCGTACGTCAACCCATGGATTGAAAAAAAAATACGTCATTTGAGCAAATCATGACGTCAAAAATATCCAGCCTGTTGTCTTGGAGCTCAATGTTCACACTGTGTGTGACGTACATCGTAGGTATGATTCGTTATCTTTTCATTGTATCTGTGACTTGTTTCACATGATCATCTTGCAGGGATATCTGTCACAATGTAATAGGGGTAGTTGTGACAGTACTACCAAGAGTGAGTTGTTACAATACCACTGAGAGTGAGTTGTGACAATACCACTGAGAGTGAGTTGTCACAATGCCACCGAGTGTGAGTTGTCACAATATCACCGAGAGTGAGTTGTCACAATACCACCTAGAGTGAGTTGTCACAATATCACCGAGAGCGAGTTGTCACAATACCACCGAGAGAGAGTTGTGACAATACCACCGAGAGTGATTTGTGACAATACCACCGAGAATGAGTTGTCACAATACCACCTAGTGTGAGTTGTGACAATACCACTGAGAGTGAGTTGTGACAGTACCACCGAGAGTGATTTGTGACAGTACCACTGAGAGTGATCTGTCACAATGCCACCGAGAGTGATTTGTCAAAATACCCCCGAGAGTGAGTTGTCACAACACCACCGAGTATGAGTTATGACAATACCACGAGAGTGAGTTTTGACAATACCACCGAGAGTGAGTTGTCACAATACCACCTAGAGTGAGTTGTCACATTACTATTTAGAGTGAATTGTTACAAAACTATCTAGAAATATGTGATACATTACCATCTAGAGCAGTGGTTCTCAATATCTCAATGCAACTCCACATGTTGTGGTGACCCAAACCATACAATTATTTTCGTTGCTACGTCATTAATATGTTTTTCCGATGGTCTTAGTTGACTCCCAAAGGGGTCGCGATCCACAGATTGAGAACCGCTGATCTAGAGAAACAGTTCTCACAATGAAGCCATGTAGTGATCATTGTCCCAAAGTCATGTTTCTTACATGTCATTAAGTTAGATTGTCTGTTGTCTTCATAAAGGATAATATATGATGGATTGTATTCCAGCAGTGTAAAGTAAAGAAATAGTGAGACAAGATTTGTTTGGCTTTGAGATAAGACGTGTACCAGGAAGTTTGGGTGAAACGTATGTGTCTGCAGATTCTGATCATAAGGGAGTTGTCCTGTCGTTTCTAAACAGAGACTAAGAGAACTAAACATTGACAGACTAAGAGAACTACACATTGACAGAGACTAACAGAACAACACATTGACATAGACTAACAGTACAACACATTGAAAGAGACTAAAAGAACAACACATTGAAAGAGACTACGAGAACAACACATTAACAGAGACTAAGAGAACTACACATTAACAGAGACTAAGAGAACTACACATTAAAAGAGACTAAGAGAACTACACATTAACAGAGACTAAGAGAACAACACATTGACATAGACTAAGAGATCTATACATTGAAAGAGTCTAAGAGAACTACACATTGACTGAGAATAAGAGATATACACATTGACAGAGACTAAGGGAACACCACATTGACAGAGACTAAGAGATGTACACATTGACAGAGAATAAGAGATGTACACATTGACAGAGACTAAGAGATGTACACATTGACAGAGACTAAGAGAACTACAACTTGACAGATACTAAGAGATCTACACATTGACAGAAACTAAGAGAACTACACATTGACAGAGACTAAGAGATCTACACATTGAAAGAAACTAAGAGAACTACACATTGACAGAGACTAAGAGATCTACACATTGACAGAGACTAAGAGAACAACACATTGACAGAGACTAAGAGATCCACACATTGACAGAGACTAAGAGATCCACACATTGACAGTGACTAAGAGATCCACACATTGACAGAGACTAAGAAAACTAAACTACACATCGAAAGAGACCAAGAGATCTACACATTGAAAGAGACTAAGAGAACAACACATGTACAGTGACTAAGAGATCTACACATTGACAGTGACTAAGAGATCCACACATTGACAGAGACTAAGAGATCCACACATTGACAGAGACTAAGAGATCCACACATTGACAGAGACTAAGAAAACTAAACTACACATTGAAAGAGACCAAGAGATCTGTACATTAAACATGATCTTTGTGACACATACGTTTTTAGTTTGTATTTGTTGTTTCTTGTTTTACCTTGTCTGCTGAAGAAGGCATTGAGCCGAAACGTCTTTGTAATTTTCCTGTCATTTTTTCCCCATGCTGCCAAAACATATCCAGGTCCACTAGTCTTTATATACCATCCACGTATTCAAGATATCTTTGTTTTAAAAAAAAATTCTGAGCAGTGGCGACGCTACACCAGGTCCCGCCGGGTCCCATGACCTGGTAAAAAAAACTTGGGACCTGGCAAATGACCTGGTAAATTTTTATTAGTTACTAATATTGTATATATGCTCATTAAGCGTAAACTACATGACACGTCAGAGAACCTCCATTTGAAATGTCTTTATGTTTAAATTTTTATTTTTAATACATTTATTTGGGACCCGCCAACTTTTGTTAAGACCTGCAAGGGACCCGCCATGTTAAATTTGATGGCGTCGCCACTGACTCTGAGCAACTATAAAATTCTAGGCCACAGTAGATCCATTTAAAGGATATATGTTCATTAATTTATCATTGAAAAAATTTGTTGTTAAAAAACATTTAAAAAAAAAGAAGACAATTGTTGAAATCTTGAGATCTGTGTGTCACATCAAACAGTCGTGTTTGCTTATTGAATTGTCTCCCCGTGGACGGAAAAAACGGGATGACTTTCTAATTGGTTTCCCCTTCCAGCCTGTGAGAGAGGATGGTACGGCTCACTGTGCCAGTACAAGTGCCATTGTTCTAATAATAGCTGTACCAAGTGTGACATGGGATGGTTTGGACCTGCTTGCCAGTATGGTAAATTATACGTATGTCACTATGAGAGGTTGTAGGCATGTCAGCATGTTATGTTGTGAGATGTGAAAGTGAGTCATGCATGGTTGTTGTATTGATTGTATTGTATCAGTACGGTACGTTACGCTTGGGGCAGTATGCGTTTAAATAGGTTGCATACGTGTTTAAAACAGGTTGCGTAAGTGTGTAAAAATTGACTGCATATGTGTATAGAATAGGTTGCATATGTGTATAATTATGTAGCATATGTGTTTAGAATAAGTTGAAAATGTGTTTACATATGTTGCATATGTGTATAAAATAGGTTGCATATCTGTATAGAATAGAATGCATATGTGTATAAAATAGGTTGCATATGTGTATAGAATTGGTTGCATATGTTTATAAAATATGGTTCCATATCATTATTATATGCTTGATTTACGGTTATGCGACTCATAATGCAACTCCAGAAGAGGCCCCCAGTAGCACCACTTTTAACTGACCAGCCGGATTGTTGTCTCCAACAGAAGACCTGGTCCAATACGGCCGTGTAACTACTGAAGGCGAGGGTCCGGATGACCTCATCACTGACGCCGACGACGCCACCTGCGTCACGAATATCACGTCACTAGAAGTGGTCTGGAATGTGTCGTATCCATTCACCTGGCTGAGACTAACCACCCGACATGAAGGTGAATGATTAATAAACATAGACTCCATGTTTGAACACAATCAACGTGCTAACATCATTTTACCTTTAAATATATTTAGCAGGCTACTCTCAATGTAGATACTACTTTTATTATATTTGAACATATTCTTTAATTTTGTTTTTTTAAAAAAGGCTAATTCTTTCAAATAATGTGCACTCGTAGCGCGCGAAAGTAAGGGCAGGTAATTATCTTTTCTTTTTCAAGGCCATTGTTCCTTCACATGTTCGGTTGGCATTATTTGCACTGCTCAAATATTTTAACATTTAAATTAGAATTTTAAAAAAGTGGCTTTAAGATTAATTGCACTGCGCACTAAATCAGAATGGTTAGAATATTAGCCCCCAGAGGTGTAGGGAAAGGGGGGGCAGAGCGGGCGGGGCGGCAAGGCTGGCAATGTTTTCCTTTTATAGAAATGCGGCATTTGTGGCAAACTGCCAAAAAAAAAAAAAAAATAATAATATTTTTTTTTTTTGTTTAATATTAGCTACGAAGAAGCTGTCACAAGAGTTAAAAGAAGTACCGGTAACGAAATGTGTCGTAAGTTCTGTCAATTTTATAATTTAAAAAAATAATAATATTTTTTTTTTGTGTTTGACACTAACTCCAGCTACTCCACTGATTAGCCAGACATTCTGAAAGAGATCATCCCAGTTGGTGGGGTTAAGTTGATGACTTGAAGAAAACTATCGATACAAATGAAAGGCATACCATGCATGATTTATCACAACCGGTTCATCTAGAACTTACGTTTCACATTTTGAACACTCCCACCAGTCAGTCACGTAAAATAGAGGAGTCTCAAACTCTGCGACACACAATTCTAGAAGCAATGTTTAGAGTTACAGGGAGTAGCAGATTTAAAAAATGCCATTCTTGGTGCTAATAAAAAAAAAGTTTCTTATAATAAATATAAATATATTTTTTTTTTTTTAAAACAGTTAAACCAGAAAGTTTCGAAGTTGTGTTCCAAGACAGTAACAATGTTACCACGCCGTGTCACCTTCGACATGACAACAGGCGAAGTGAAAGGACCTTTGACATGGACTGTGACGTGAATGTCACCGTACAAAGAATTTACCTCACCAGTGACGAAGGCACAGCAATGGATATTTGCTCTCTTTACGTTAGTGGAGGTACGTCATTATAAGATAGGTGGCCGTGGATCTGTGGATATGTTGCTCTGCAGATCTCTTCATCTCGAAACTGTCTTTGTGGCAATTTTTTTTTTTTTTAAAAATTATAAGAGAAATATGGGGGAGGACCTTGTTCAGGTTGAAGCAATAATTTGTTTCTCTCATTTCTATTCTTCTAACCTGATTCCAGTCGCTCCCCTCTGAAAGCAAGGGACACAGAGAAAAACACGATGTGCTTTCATAGGAGAAAAAAGTTAGGGGGCGGGGGGCGGGGATAAAAACTGAGTTGTAGAAAAAGATCAATATTTTTGATAACATGATAATATTTATTATGTCACGAGACGTTGATTGACCCCTGACCCCTGAGATTAGTTTCGGCGGTGGCATCCTTTAACAAAAATGATAAAAACTAAGGGAAATGGTTGTTGAATTATCAAATCATTGAAAAGAAATTTGCAGAATATTTTTATATTGATGGCCTATCTTTATAGAATCAGTTCCTGGAAATTTGAGCTGTCAGCACTTGTTAGTAGTGACTTGTAAGTAATGACTTGCAAGTAGTGACTTGTATGTGTATAGTTCTTATTCTTGTCTGACAGGTCGAAATGTGGCCTTGAAGCAAAAGGTCAACCAAAGCACTGTGCTCGTCAACCAAACTGATCATGGCCCCGAACTGGCAGTGGACGGTAGGAAAGATGACCTCTGGAAGAGAAGTCAGTGCTCTCACACGGTGGAAGGGGGAGACACGGAGCCACGATGGGAGGTCAGACTGACCGACCCGGTTAGGGTTATCAGATACGTCATCTACAATAGACACATCTGTAATGTAGTTTTCTATATCAATAGACACATCTGTAATGTAGTTTTCTATATACAATAGACACATCTGTAATGTAGTTTTCTATGTACAATAGACACATACGTAATAGACTATTATTCATAAGACTTTTATATTTTCCTTTGACTTCCTGATCATTGTAGTCACTAACCTTGTCCCCTGTGTTTGAATTCCCGATCATTGTAGTCACTAATTGTCTCCCCTGCGCTTGAATTCCCGATAATTGTAGTCACCAATTATCTCCCCTGTGCTTGAATTTCCGATCATTGTAGTCACTAATTGTCTCCCCTGTGCTTGAATTTCCGATCATTGTATTCATTGTCTCCCCTTGTGTTTGATTTCCCCCACCAAGTAATGAAACATCAACCTGTCAGACCCAGTGGACGGCTGCAGAAATTCCGCTTACGAAGTTACTCCGATGAAAACACACTCGTGTTTGACTACAAAGATAATTCCAGCCAACCGCAGTACGTTTACACAGTGACGTCACTGACCCAGATGGCGGTGTCACGTGTCGAAATTACTGCAGCACGCAATGAAAAACATATAGTTTTAGCACTGTGTGAAGTGGAGATATTTGGCGGTGAGTGCCATTAGGGGTGACCTTGAGTACCATTAGAAATGACCTTGAGTACCATTCGAGTTAACCATGAGTGCAGTTATGCCGGTTGGCTCAAAATCCCACATTGCGCTCCTCCACACCGAGTAGGTCTATATGTTGGTAATAAATATTAACAAAGTTCCACCCGGGGAGGTCAAGCGCATCACACCCCGCCCTAAGATACGCCACTGGTAATACCTACTCTCAAGGAGAGTTTACAATAAATAGCACCACTGATGACATGGAGTACCAGTTAAGTTAAAGGTTACATCATTATAGGCAACCTTCAAATCATTTTTTTTTTTTTTTTTTACAAAAAATAAAACTGTAAAAACATTTCTTGATGAAAATATTCTTCTAATATGTAATGAAATGTCACCCTTATTCCTATAATTATCCCCAACATCAACATTCACACACTTATCTTCAACATCAATATTTACACAATTATCCCAAGCATTCACACAATTATCCCCAACATTCACACACTTATCCCCAACATTCACACACTTATCCCCAACATTCACACAAGTATCCCCAACATTCACACAAGTGTCCCCACCATTCACACAGGTGTCCCCACCATTCACACAGGTGTCCCCACCATTCACACAGGTGTCCCCAACATTCACACAGGTGTCCCCAACATTCACACAGGTGTCCCCAACATTCACACAAGTGTCCCCAACATTCACACAAGTATCCCCAACATTCACACAAGTGTCCCCAACATTCACACAAGTGTCCCCAACATTCACACAAGTATCCCCAACATTCACACAAGTATCCCCAACATTCACACAAGTGTCCCCACCATTCACACAGGTGTCCCCAACATTCACACCAGTATTTCCAACATTCACACCAGTATCCCCAACATTCACACCAGTATCCCCAACATTCACGTATGCACTTGCGAAAGTGTTTGAAATTTGGTTGAATTGTTTCTGTACATTGGCGGCTTTCTTCTTTGCCTTAGCATCTACAGAGACAGGCGGTTCACCAGAGATCCAGGGAGTGAGTCAACTCCACAACATCACGTGTTATGAGCCTCACGAGCCACGGGTGGATCACGTCAAAGGTGAGAAAGAATTCTTCTGATCATCGATTCCAGGACAACTTACAATTTAAAAAAAAATGTTATTGAGAGCTAATTAAAATCACTATCTTCATCCTGATCAATACCGGTGTCAAGTTTATATGGCTTACACAATTTGTAACTTTAACACTCTCGTGTGATTATCTGAGTCAGTAAAGTTATCTAGATAAAAACTACTTGTGTGACATTTGTTGTTCGTCCGTCAAAATCGTCTAGGACCATCGAGTCATCCGGTTAGGAGAGATGGTGGGCTATGGTGAGCTTGTAGGTGGCTATGTTAGATCGATCCTTGCTGGGAAAAATCTTTGGCACCGCGGGCAGGGGATAGTTGCTGCAGTCGGTGATCTACTATTGCTCTTTCTGGCAAGTCTGCGTGTCTCAGCTGTGGTTATCCTACTGGCTTCAGGAGATTTAGCCCCTTTCTTGACAGCTGCTCTCCTTCTTGACAGCTGCTCTCCAACTGTCTCTAATTTGGGCTGTATGCACCCATTTAGTAGGGTTGATGCTGAAGGCCTCTAGTGCCCCTTAGTGAGTCTTTGGAACGCTTTTTTTTACCTCCGTGACCTCCTTGGGAGCGCTTGCCTATCGTGAGTTCTCCGAAGAAAATCTATTTTGGGAGCCGATGGTCTTACATTCGGGCTACCTGTCCCATCCAACGAAGTTGAGACTGCATCAGGATTTTGAAGATACTAGGTAGGTTCGCTCTAGCAAGGACCTCTCTGTCAGGAACTTTGTCTTGCCACCTGATGCCGAGGAGTTTCCTGAGGCAGGATGTGTGAAAATGGTTCAGCTTCTTGGCATGACGCTGGTAGACTGTCCACCTTTCCCCACCGTAGAGCAATGTCGAGAGGACTGCTGCGTTATAGACCTTGATCTTCGTTTCTCGTCTGATACCTCTCCTGTCCCAAACAGTGCTTCGGAGCCTGCCAAATATGGCATTAGCTTTTGCGAGCCTGGCATTCATTTCATCATCCATGGTGACAGATCTGGAGAGAATCCTGCCCAAGTAAGTAAATGTATCCACATTTTAGAACCTTATAATGAATGTAAAATATTTAAATAATATTTATTTTTTAAAGAAGTGTATCTACTATGGACTATACCTGTGTTCTGTGTGTAACAAATTGTGCTTTTCATACATTGATATACTCATAAAATGCACCTACATATTTAGTGAAATTGTTTTACTAAGTGCTAATTTGGGGCTAAATTACACACCTGCCATTTTCCCTCCCCAGCACACGTCTGCTATATTAAGTTGGCTAAATAAATTATTAAAAAGAATCCCCAGGATCGTATCCCCCCCCCCCCCCCCC